AGAGTAATAAAATCCCCCAAGAGAGGAAAATGAATGAATTACCAGAGAACAAAACATACCTGTGCCTGAAGCTTCGATGCCTTTGCCTGCAGTTCCTTGTGACGCAGAACTATCTCTTTTGCCTTCGCCAACAGGTCACCAGGAGAACTAGCATTGATACCAAGTTCTGACATGCGTGCCTTAAGAAGTGCCACACTGTCGTCAATCAGAACCTTGATCTGTTTCTCCAGCTGAGCGGCGCGGCTCTTCAGTTTCTGATTGCGCTCCTGTAAGAACCTCACTGTTATTACTGTCTTGTCATTAGAAATGCCCAATCTCAATGCCAAACTAATGACAAGGATAGCAAAAGTCAGAAGGCAGACAGGCATCTGCCTCCTCATCTGTGACATAACAAATATCGAAATCCAAAGGTTTTTACCCACAGTACACCATACAAGTTGCTATGAAAACGGGAACGTAGTAGCTACTAATACTTTTAAATGCTAAGAGAAAGAGCAGTTTGCTACAAAATGTAAACAGATATGCTTGGTTCTGTATAAAGCCGGTCACTTCATTGACCACGCAATTGCTGCTCATAAAAGTATGTCACTACCACGAACGTAATTCATATTTTTCCATTACTTAACTAACTCCTTTATAAGCTTCTAGTTTCATGTGGTAGTTTCCTTATGTTGGCTGTGTTTGCGTAAGCAGAGCATTTCGAAAATGGCATCTTACCTTGTCACGTTCAATCTGCAGGTTAACGTCGTCTCGATAACGAGGACTCTTCATCATTTCCACCATCTGCAAAAACTGTGCACGGTACATGTCCAACAAGATCTGCAACGCATAAGGAGTATCAGCGGGAGCAGGCGGGATGTCCAGCTCTGTGTGTACTGAATTGGAGTTCAGCGTGAGACTCGTCAGCTGCTGGTCCACACAGCCGGGTGCTGGAGGAGGCTTCTTCCCTATGGCTGCACACAAGGTACCAAGACATGCATCACATAAAAGGATCCTACACACAATCTGACGGACATAATGAATGGCCAGCAGATATACCGCTGTTTCAAGCAAGCATAGATTGGCAACTGACAGTCTATAT